CTGAAAGCCCAGGGCCTCTGTGTTGGTTAGGCCCTGGGCATCTGAACGTGAGGCCGACAATGCATGCTGGGAAGAGAGGCCGAAAATGCCAAAGGGAAATCGGCCCACTGTCTGAATCTGGCCGCAGGCCTTGATGAAGGAGGCGCAACTGCCTTACCCCGGGGCCCAACTGTATCGAGTTGGCTTCAGCCTCTGGGCCCCAGTCACAGGCTGAAGGGAGGCCCTCCACACACTGCACTAGCATATTGGCAAGCAGGGCGAGGCAGCAGGGGTCCTCCACACACTGCACTGGCATATTGGCAAGCAGGGCGAGGCGCTGGCTCATGGCTTCGCAGCGGCCCTCCCACCTACTATGCTGCTGTCTTGATTCACTTCTGGGTAAAAAATTCCCATCTTCAATTACCACCCTTTCCCCTCCCACGACAATAGTCGCGGCACGTTTACTTGTTTTATTTTAAGTTTCGAGCAAATTTTGTGTGCGACAAAGCGACATTGAGTTCAGTTTTGAGTGGGGCGCGTGATAGGCCAGAAATACCCAACTCCCCTGTTACGCCGTTGAGGACCTCTGAAGTGGGCACGGCGGGTGACAGATGTCACTGCCTCTGGCTTCGGCGACGAACAGGTGACCCATCCCCGGGTTTCCTTACACCGATTGCTTGGAGGTCGGGCGGCCTGTAACTCACCGCCCAAGAGGCAGGTAGGCCGCTATATCTCCAGAAGAAGAGAAGTGTTTCTCCTCATTTGCGGTGTGCAAGTTTCGGCGCCATGCTGCTTGAGCGGGCGCTAGTTCTCATAGCACCGTTGCAGAGAGGAGCGCTGGGCAGTACAACGCTGCGAGGGGGAAGAAGTTGGACGCTCAGCCTGGCTACGGCGAGCAGCCCAGCCTAAGGAGGAGGAGGAGGGGATGAAGGGGGAGACTGGTGAAGTACCCACCTGGCTATGGCGGACGCCATCTTCATCATCTTGTTAGGCGCTGCATCTGGAAGGCCCCAGTTGGGGTAGCGCCGCACAAAGAAGCCTTCAAGGCAGAGTCAGGCATGGCGGCCTTAGTCGCAGCGGACATAGCTGCTTTGCCTTGTCTTTTGCACGTCAGGGCTAGGCCCTCAGTAGTCCGCCATAGCCTCGGCCTGGCTGAACAGAAGGAAGAGGGAGGCTATGGCTATGGTGGACCTCTGGTTATGCCAAGCAGTAGAAGAGGCAGCTTAGAAATTTCCGCGAATTATCATATTAAACAGTTTCAGAGTTCTAATCACCAGGCGCTCAACAGCACAGAGTTCAGCAACCCAAAATCCAGCATCCTCATGCAGGTAGGTGACACTCTCTCTGTCTGTCTGTCTCTCTCTCTCTCTCTCTCTCTCTCTCTCTCTCTCTCTCTCTCTCTCTCTCTCTCTCTCTCTCTCTCTCTCTCCCCCTATGAAGATCTTGACTCTCGATACATCCGCTTACTACTCAACTCTACCCCTAGTACTACAATGAGCGGCTATGGCCGCTTCCTTCCATAGAGCAGCGCTGCCCAGCCAGGGCTCCAGCGCTAGTCAACTCGCAAATAGCGCACAAGCGCTCAGCAGCACTTCCACACTTCTTGCGAATGAGCAATCTGTCCGAAATGTGGCTGGCCAGTCCCTATATTGACTTCGACTGGGCCTTGGCTCGTACCAGCCTCTGCTGCTCTTGGCTTGACTTTGACCCGGTACCAGTTGCCTGCGGCCTATTTGCTTTTAGAAAATCGGGGCCCGGTACCTTCCAAAGTTTTCCTTCGTGTGCTGCTGCCTTTGGACTGTGGGACGTGACTTTTGACTGCGTACAGGTTGGACTTGACCTATGAGGTACCCGACTTCACCTTTTCTGTGTCTGGCCGACTTGGCCTCTTTTGCCCTAGTGTGATAACCCGTCCAAACATGGACTGAAACACACAGCTGATTTCTGAGTTTTGCTCGTAGACTGAATGCCCTACTGAGTTCCCACCTGCCAAGTCTGTGTGTGTGTGTGCTTGCTGGACTGTATGTCTGTCTGAGTGCTGGTTGGCTTGCGTATGTGTGACTGTGCCTGTCTGAGTGCTGGTTGGTATGAGTATGTGTGTGGCCCGCCAGGGCACTTGTTCGTTCGTTGGGCCCTCAGGGCCGGTACTTACCTGTGTCCGTGGCTTTGAAGGGTTGCAGCGGGGGAAAAGCACTCAAGTAGCAGGTAGGCCGGTACCGCACCCGGCAGGGGGGTAAATATGCAGGTACCGGAGGCCGAGCAGAAGAAGACAAAAGTGGCATTTTTAGAGGCCGGTAGTGTAGGCTAGGTCTAGCGGGTACCACTCTGAGTCTAGGGCCTGTAGGGGCAATATCAGAGTCTGCAATGATGTTTCCCTCCAAAGAGGAGGAGGTACCGGTTGCTTGGGAAGGCCAGCGGCCTGGAAGTCACCGCCCAAGAGGCAAAGCAGGCCGCTATATCTTCAGGCCGGGCGGAAGACCCGGCCTCTTTTTCGGTGTGCAAGTTTGGCGACACACTGGTGGAGCGCTGGCTGGAGCAGCCCTGCTGGGAAGGAAGGAGAAGAAAATGAGGGAGGAAGGAGGAAGGAGGAAGGAAGGGGGAGGAGCGCCGGGGGTACTTACCTGGCTATGGTGGCAGCCATCTTCATCACCTTGGTGGGCGCTGCAGCAAGGAGTCCCCAGCCGGGGAGAGCCACACCAAGAAGCTTCAAGGCAGGGTTGGACATGGCCGCCTGAGCCAGAGCAGCCATAGCTGCTTTGGGTTGTCCTTTGCGCATCTGGGCAAGGTCTAGTAGTCCGCCATAGCCTCGGCCTATGAGAGTGAAGAGTGAAGGGAGGCGGCCATGGCTATGGTGGACCTTGATTGATACCTGCAGTAGAAGAGGGACTCGGACATAGATTCTGGACCAGTCATTCAACATTGTATTATTATTTCTTGTATGAATAAGAGAAGGGGGAGATAAGGAGGAGGAGATTGTTGGGCGAAGAAGAAGAGCCTTGTCATTGTCTTTTGCTGGTGTACATCTTCTTCTTCTTCTTTCTTACTTCTTCTTCTTCCTCTAATCCTCTCTCTCTCCTCTCAAGTTCATTCATTTCTTTCTGCAATTGGATGGCATTGTACTTTCCGGTGGATGTGTATTTCGAAATTGGCCAGGGTCATAACACCAGGGAATTTTGACCCTGAAATCCGAATTTAGGGTCTGCAGCGTGAAATGCCTTTCACTCTCACCGGCCTGATTTCGAGGTCCTCCGAGAAAGTTACAAACTTTATATGTCAATTATGTTAATTCCTGAGTGAGGACGCCGCCCGGCCAGGCCAGAAATATATACATATATTTTTTGGAACCGGGGTCGCTCTGTGCTCGGCGAGAGGACCCTGAATCTTTTTTTTTTTTTTTTTTTTTTTTTTTTTTTTTTTTTTTTTTNTTTTTTTTACAAGAGGCAATGCTCCAATCTATTCGTGGGGAGCAACACGGCTGGGAACCGGGCCCAGCGTCCCTTATCAGAATACAAAGATGAGCTACCGGGGCCATTACCCGGCTTCGGCTAAGAACAGTTGAAGAAAAAGAAAACTCAGAAACATTCAGAAATTGTGTCAACAAGCCTCCCAACGAATTAGATAGGTGAAACCTATTCAATCCACCTTCGACCACCACCAGCATGGCCGTTTTCAGCACAAACCGAAGCTCTTCCAGGCCTGATGCTCCCATCAGGCTGGGTTACAGAGTTGCACCACCTTGCTCCAGCACCGGCCAGCATTGCTTCAGTTACGACCCCCGATGACCACTGAGACTGCCCCCGCAAACAGCCCCCCAGATCTCTCTACCAGGCCTCACGCCCCCACTAAGCTAGGTCACAGAGTTGCGCCACCTGGCTCCGGCTCCGGCCATCGTTGCTCCAGCTTCGGTCTTCAAGGGCCACCGAATTTTCGACCACCCYACGCAGGATCAAAGATGACATGCCAGATATCACCTATTCCCACAACCTCCTCGAGAGGCGAACAAGAAATTACTGGACTGGAAGATTAGAAATCTTCAAAAGAACATCACCCCTCCCTCCCCCTACCCCCTCAGCCCTACACTGCCCCCGCCGAGGCGAGCGTCCCGCTCTCCCTCGGCCCCAATATAGGACCAACTCCCTCCACCCCTGTCCCCGAGGACACACAGTTCCCTCCTAAAACATGCCGTTGCCGCCCCTTGCCCGTTTCTGCCTCCACTGAGGACGATGTTGACCCCTCCCCCCATCCCACCCCCAGAAACAGGACAAACCCCCAACTCCGCTTCTACCCTCTTCTAGACATTCACCCCCCTCCTTAAGAATCCCCTGCAGGATAGCGCTCCCTATCCACCCCACTCTCCCAATTCTACCCTTCTAAAATAATCGATCCAGCCCAGGAATAAACTCGGAATTTTCTTCCGAAAGGACCCGTTGACAAGGGCGCAGGGCAGCAGTAACGATTATTACAATTATTCCCCTTCCCCTTGCGCCCAATAAACAGATGACTACTCCCACCAATTTAGATAGCAGAAAGTAATTATCGGAAAACTATCAGGATTTAAGCTATGATAGTAAAATTTATTAAAGAGTATAGTCAAGGAACAAAATTACGTGATTATCGTGATGATTCCTGCAAATATGCTAACGATTCAGAACAGATGATGTTAAAGTGAAACTAAATGATGTCAATGATGATGAATCTGATAGTGATGTTGATGATGATGATAATGCTGATATTGGTACTGATGATGATGCTGATAAGATGATGATGATAATGGTAGCGATGATTAAGATGATAATGACTATGATGATGATTGCGCCCCTCACCCTGCGCTAACATGATGATGATGGGGATGATACTAAAAGGGGAACGATGAGTGTCGCACAGCCCCCCTAAACATGGTGTCACAGTTGAAACCTACCCAGTTGATGCTGATAAAGACGATGAAGATGACGAATAACTCCCTGATGATGATGCCTGTCGTTGTAGCCCGTTGCTGCAGATAAATGACCTCTCCCCGTTGCTTGATACTGCTGCTTGTTTGTCGCAAAGACGACGACAGTCTCAAACACTCCACTCCTTATCCCCCTCCACTCCTCCCATCTCGTGGGACTCACAGCGCTCCTCTCCCTCTTGCTCCTGGCCGACCTCCTCCACCAAATTGTGCAAGAAGAAGAGCACAAATGATTCCTCCCGATGCAAGACCCAGTAGAGAGCCTTACCCCGCCTCACACGGCATGCTAACCCGCAGCATCCCCGTGAGAGGCACCAGACAGTGAGATGGCACTACAAGTGCTTTCAAGTGTTAGGAGATAAAGAGTACGTCCTACAGCAGCAGTAACAGCGCTGACTCTCTGCATCGTTGAGCACCTATCATAGCCACCCTCTATGCCCAGCGGCGCCCAACATCGCCGCGCGTTACCACTCAACCACACCTGGCATAGTCGCGCCACGTCTGCCCGCTACTCCATCTCTCGTCGGTCAGGTCGTGATGGCGGGGAGCAGCGCCCCTGGACGCGCTGCGCCCCCCGAAGGACCCTGAATCTGAAATAAAATTTTGGTTTGGGGGTGGGGTGGGGGGGTTGGTCTGGGTGGGGGGTACTGGGGTTGGGAGGTATCTGGGATGGATGATGGAGATGGCTAGATGGGATTGAGGGAGGGAGGGATGGAGGATGGAGGATGGAGAAAGGCAGGGAGGAGTAGGGAAGGAGGGGAAGAAGAAGAAGATGAAGAAAGGTCGAAGAGAAAGATGAAAACGCAAGGGGGAGGAGGGGAAGAATAAGAAGACGAGAGGACGACGAGGAGAGGTTAAGGAAAAGGAGGGGGAGGAGGACAGCCTTCGTTTTTTTTTTTTTTAAACCTAACGTGTCTCACGTGACCTACCGAAAGTCGACGAACTGAAAGAAGAAGAAGAAGCAGAAGGAGGAGGAGGAGGAGAAGAAGAAGAAGAAGAAGAAAAAGAAGAAGAAGAAGAAGAAGAAGAAGAAGAAAACGCGAGGGGTAGGAGGGGAAGAAGTGGAAGACGAGTGAAGGAGGAGGAGGAGAGAAGAAGAATGAGGAGGAGGAGGAGGAGGAGACTCAGGAGAGAAGAAGAAGAAGTAGAAGAAGATGAGCTGAGCAGGGGAGGGGGGGTAGGTGGATGACCTCTCGTATCTCACGTGACCTGCCTAATGATCTAGAAGAAGAAGAAAAAGAAGAAGAAGGGGAAGAAGCACGGCTTCGATAGGGTATGGCGGCGGCGGCGGTAGGGTATGGAGAAAGGCAGGGAGGAGTAGGGAAGGAGGGGAAGAAGAAGACGTAATGAGGGGAGAAGAAGAAGAAGAAGAAGAAGAAGAAGAGAGGTGAGGAGGGGAGGAAGAAGAAGATCAAGAAAGATGAAAATGCGAGGGGGAGGAGGGGAAGAAGTGGATGACGAGATGACGATGAGGAGAAAAGAAGAAGGAGAAGACGAAGATGAGCGGAGAAGTAGGGGGAGGACGACGGTCGTGTTTTTTTTTTTTTTTCATAACCTGTCGTGTCTCACGTCACCTACCGAATGTCGACGAACTAGAAGAAGAAGGAGGAGGAGGAGGAGGAGAAGAAGTAGAAGAAGCAGAAGAAGAAGAAGAGGAAGAAGAAGAAGAAGAAGAAGAAGAAGAACGACGCCTTCGTCGTAGCAACAGCAGCAGGACAGTCAGGGCCTTCGTCGTAGCAGCAGCGGCAGGACAGTCGGGGCCTTCGTCGGAGCAGCTGCAGCTGCACACCTGAAGGCGATGGCGATGTGCGACGGGCGACGGGCGACGGCGCAGCAGGAGGAGGTCGGCAACTGGGATCGTGCTGGGGGGCGAGTGGCAGCCCACCCCAGTCGATCGAAGGTTTGAAGGGGGAAGAGGGAGTTTGGCGCCAAGATCCCACGGCTCTGTGGCCGTCGATCATGGAGGATCGACGTCCACACAGCCGACAAAAAATTCAAAAAACAAAGCAGGCGCACTGGGCCCGACACTGAGGTTTTTTGGGCCGGCCAGACCCGGTAGGCCTGTAGGAGGCCTGCAGCAGCCGAAAGGGGGTCCGAAACCCCCTGGCAGGTGACTGCGCTGAGGGGGTCCGGCCCCCAACCGGGTGCCCGGGACCTCCCCCGGGCCGCGGCCTGTCACCCGGGCGGCCCGGTACCCCACTCAGGTCAATTCCTCTTCTGGCTCTCTTATGTGCGGTGCTGTTTCTATTAGCTCATCTCTAGTAAACCAGCGATCTTCCGAAGGTTCTTGATAAGAAAATCTGACTTTATACTGTTGCCGAGGCCTACCCCTGCTTCCGGATCTATAACATCCTCTGCAATGATGCGGTCTACGTCATGCTTGCCATCCATATCAGGAGGAATCATAGATCTTCGAGACGGAAACAGATCAAACACCAGGGAATTTCAACGATATAGGAAGGACCATCCCACGGTCCCCTATATGCAGGCCATAGTTTCTGCGAGATGTTCTCCTTTGGAAGAAAATCCTTGGATTTCGCCGAGAACAGGTCTCTTACAGCAAACTGCGAAGGTCTGCGGTGCTTATTCGCCTGTTCAATCATCTGATGTTGTGCCTTTCTTATATTTTCCCTCATACTGCACAGCAAATTCTCTAGTCCCTGGAGGGAGCCTTTGCCCTTGATCAGGGTTCAGACAGTCAACGGGCCTGTGCGGACGCCATCCCAGATGCAGTTCGCTAGCCTACCTTAGGAAGATGCTCATCCCAGTCATGCGCACCACTTTCTGCAACACTTTGTTCATTTGTTCGGTCTGTCTGTCCATCT